AAGCTGTCGAAGCGTATTTTTTCATCAAAATCTCTATTTCTAACAATTAGAGAGAATATAGAGTCTCTTGGAGTTGCTTTGAAGCGGAAACTTCGTCCCATCGTTGGACATTGTGTAGAAATAAGACTTCCCGTTCTCAATGGACATATGTTGAGCTAACATGTTTGAGAATGAATTGATAATCCAGATTATATATAAGACAAGAGAAGCATGAGAGTACTGCAGAAAGTAGTAAATTTTGGATGGAAATACTCTTTTAATTTTTTTTTCAGAGGTTACGCCAAGACGTACAACCTATTACATGATAGAGACTTTTCCCTGTGTGCCATTATAAAAGATCGCAATCTCTTGTGTGCCTCTGGAAAAATTCAGCGGTCTTCAGCGCCACTACTCCAACTTTTTCGGGTCCTCCATGCCACTTCCGTCACTTCAGGCTCTAACGCCGTCAAACAGCAGGTGTGAAAAGACAAAAATGCCCTTAAGTTCAAATATGTTATTAATTTTTTTTGAGCATCTTAACGACTTCAAATGAAAAAACTCAAAACTAGAAAATTGTAGATCTCGTCGAGATCTATAATTTTCATATAAAATTTATTTTCATTTAATTTCACAAAAAAAAATATGATGATTTTTCTAAGATATATTAATCATATCAAATCATATTTTTTTGCGGAATTAAATGAAAATAATTTTTATATGAAAATTATAGATCTCGACGAGATCTACAACTTTCTAGTTTTGAGTTTTTTCATTTGAAGTCGTTAAGATGCTCAAAAAAATTAATAATATATTTGAACTTAAGGGCATTTTCGTCTTTTCACACATGCGGTTTGACGGCGTTAAAGCCTGAACTGACGGAAGTGGTATGGAGGACCCGAAAAGTTGGAGTAGTGGCGCTGAAGACCGCTGAATTTTTCCAGGGGCACACAAGGGATTACGATCTTTTATAATGGCACACAGGGAAAAATCTCTATATGATAACCTTGCGGTAGACCTGAGCAAACTGAGCCTGGCCTAGCGTGGCCGGCAGGCCCAGCTCGAGTCCGATGGGATTTGGCACGCCCACATGAGCCTTAGTGGACAGGGTCTCGACACAAGTCCCGCTGTTTAGAAAATTTATTCTCGACCAGAACCCAGCCCGAAACATTTGTTTTAGATATTTTACACTATAAATTGCACGGACAGCCCGCCTAGGCCTGGCCCGGCCCAAAATGCTCAGATCTACCTGACAGCATATGGTTCCAAGAAAAAGAAAATTGAAAAGAAAAAACGTGAAAAGAAAAGACACAAGAAAAAATGAAATGAACAAGAAAACGTGAACGAAAAACACTGGAATTGTAAATTGAAAAGAGAAAACAGAAAAGGCATGGGAAAAATTAAAACTGAAAGGAAAACAGAAAAAAAAACTCGAAAACAGAAAAACGGTACTTGTCAAGAACGGACTCCTCGGACAGAAGTTTGTGCTCGGTAGACGGAACGGAAGAAAACACAAGAAAAACCAAAAAAGAATAGAAAACGATGAAAATCATTTATTTTTTTAAAAACAATAAACCATAGGAGCGGAGGGCAGCAAAAAAAACTTCTGCACCTAATTGGAACGGGAATTTTTTTTTATGAAGCAAGTGGAGAAAAAACACAACCATAACCTCCCAGATAGGTACGGAAGAGCCAAAAAAAAAGGAATCAGACTCTCTTTAATATTTTAATATTAGAATCTAACTCGTACTAACATGAAACATGAGTCTACGACCCACGTGAACTATTCTAACTTGTATGAGCACGGGTCATATAGAAATGCAGACGGAAGAAATTCTCCACTATCGAGTAGTTATAGGGAGACAGACCAAACAAATGGTTGGACAAAAAAAATAGGCTGAAAATTTACCTCTTTATTATTAGGTATAGAAAAATCAAGCTGTTTACTAGCTTCTTTATGTTACTTTTACTCGGTGTCCAAAGGTGAAATTATTTCTTTTTTCAGTGCCTGTACCAACAGATGCATTGGAAGCTATGAGTTTCTTGATATAGCTCCACTGTTGATCATCAATTAAGTTTTGCAAAAATTATGATTGCTAGATTGACGACATGTTCAAGAGTTTGTTGAATTGTGCCTTGAAACATTTGCATGCATCACTACGGGAGAGGCAAAATTCCCCGAGTGTCACTGGCTTCCCCGAGTGTCAAATATTGGGCACTCGGGAAAGAGAATCTTCCCCGAGTGTTGCACTCGGGGAAGAATTGCACTCGGGGAAGAGAGGCTTTCCCGAGTGCCGCAGAGATCCTGGCACTCGGTAAAGAGCAGCACTCGGCAAAGGCCCTCTTCCCCGAGTGCAACACTCGGGGAAGATCGGCACTCGGCAAAGAAACATATTACTTGACGGTCCATCCCGCCTACGCCGTTAAAACTTAAAAAAAATTCTTCCCCGAGTGCCTTCCCTGACACTCGGGGAAGAGACCCTTTCCCGAGTGCCAGAACAGGGCACTCGGGGAAGAGGGAAAATTTTTTTGTTTTTTTTTTGTTTTTTTTGCTTATTTTTTTGTGAGGCCTTCCCACATTATTTAAAACTCTCTGTTCAAATTTGGGACAATTTTGACTTTTTTTTGTTATATTTCGTTAGTTTTTTTCGTTTCGTTGAATTTTTTTGCATACTTCGAATTTGAACTACAGGTGCATGAAATAATGGAATTTGGTGATTCAAAAAATTATATTAATGATATTTGGTGTATGTTGAGGCCTTATCCAGGAACTCGCATGAAATGTCGAGCATTTTGTTGACGTAACATGATGAACTACTTGCGGGAAAAGTGTATTTAAATCATATAAAATCCGAACAAAGTCCGAAAATCACGAAACTTGTCGAGGCGTCGTGTTATCGCATGTAGATGCTATGATAAAAAATTGAGAAGGTTTCGAGTAAGTTGTGACGTCGGATACCTAAAATCGCAAGTTATGACGTCGGATGCCTAAAACCTAGACATCTACCTGGCCTTTTTTTGCTTTTGATAATAACCTGACCGGTCATATCTATATTATTTGGCCCTTTCAGAAACTGAAGCTCAGCTCAAAAAAAACTCACTCTGTTTCCCTCTCATTTAGGGTTTTAAATTTTGGTTTGAACTTGTCAAATTTCAAATTTCAAATTTTAAAATGTGTAAAACATTGTCACATCCAAGTTTGATCGAACTTGAATGCTGAAGCATGATTTTAGAAATTTTTAGAAAAAAAACCATCACATTTGGAGTTAGTATGAGGAAGAACAACTAGTTATAAAGTTTACCCACATATTAAAAAGAGAAATCACACTGATCATAGTGAACAGTGTGATTTCTCTTTTTAATTTGTGGGTCAACTTTGTAACTAGTTTTTCTTTCTCATACTAACTCTAAATCTGATGATTTTTTTTTCTAAAATCATTCTCTATCAATTTATTTTGTTGGTTTTGTCAATATATACATATGAAAAGTTTGAACAATTTAAATTTTGAATTTCAAAAAAATGCAACTTCAGACAAGATTTTGGTACCCCAAATTATTTCAGCTGAAAAATTAATAAATACCAAAGTTGAATAACTCATCAAGATCTACAACTTTTGTATTGGTCATTTCTTCATATAACAAAGTGGTAATGACATTGTTCACAAATGTGACACATCTCTCGTAAGGTTTTATAAACTATATGAGACATGGGTAAGATTAGTGAATAATGTATGCTAAGAATTTGTCAAATGAAGGAATGACCAAAATAAAAGTTGTATATATTCATCACTTTTTATGTTGAAATCATTTTGGGTCTCAAATTCTGGTTCGAATTTGTCGTTTTTCAACATTTCAAATTTGAAATGTTCAAATTTTGTCATATGATAAGATGACTAAAATAAAAGTTGTAGATATTAATGAGTTGAACAACTTTGGTATTCATCACTTTTTACGTTGAAATCATTTTGGGTCTCAAATTCTGGTTCGAACTTGTCGTTTTTCAAAATTTCAAATTTGAAAGGTTCAAATTTTGTCAAATGACAAGATGACTAAAATAAAAGTTATAGATATTAATGAGTTGAACAACTTTGGTATTCATCACTTTTTACGTTGAAATCATTTTGGGTCTCAAATTCTGGTTCGAACTTGTCGTTTTTCAAAATTTCAAATTTGAAAGGTTCAAATTTTGTCAAATGACAAGATGACTAAAATAAAAGTTGTAGATATTAATGAGTAGAACAACTTTGGTATTCATCACTTTTTATGTTGAAATCATTTTGGGTCTCAAATTTTGGTTCGAACTTGTCGTTTTTTAAAATTTCAAATTTGAAAGGTTCAAATTTTGTCAAATGACAAGATGACCAAAATAAAAGTTGTAGATATTGATGAGTTGAACAACTTTTGTATTCATCACTTTTACATATTCATCACTTTTTATGTTGAAATCATTTTGGGTCTCAAATTTTGGTTCGAACTTGTCATTTTTTAAAATTTCAAAATTTGAAAGGTTCAAATTTAGTCAAATGACAAGATGACCAAAATAAAAGTGGATATGCAGTACTCGTCGGCTATCTATTACTCGACCGATGCCCAATAGATACAAGGATGGGCAAGAGACAGTTAACGGAGACAAGAACAGAATGAATTCTCCGTAGCGAAAAACATAACACTCCAACAATACTGTACATCCTGTTGCCATCCGTAGTCGCTCCCGTATTTAAACGCCCACAAGCGAACCGAGCCCCACATGCCCGCCGCAGCCGCGACCACCTCCACTCGAATTCAAAATCAAAAAAGAAATGCAACAAAAAAAAATCAAAAAAGAAATAAACCCGGCAGCCATAAATCCCCCACGCGATCCCGTCCCAATCCACCCATCTCCATTTCAAAACCGCGCAGGACCTTCGCGTCTCTTCCTCCCTCCCCTCCCGCTCTGCTCCGCTCCGTTCCAAAACCCTAGGCGGCGCCCGCCCGCAGCCCGGATCCCGCTCCCCCGGCGCCTCCGCCCGTCGCCTGCTCCCCCGATGGACCCCGCGGGGCCGCGCGTGGTCACGGATCCCGCCGGATCGGGGGCTGCGCCGCCGCGCGAGGTCGGTGGGCCCGCCCGCCCGCGCTCTTCTCGCTCCGTCCTTGCTCTGGGGTCTTCGGATGCGCTGACGCGGTCTCCGTGGCTGTTCCTGCAGGAATTGGACGGGAGAGGAGGAGGAGGAGGAGGAGCGTGCAGTGGCGCCGCAGCGGCGGAGGGGAGCGCGTCGCGGCTGGCGGGCGCTGGACTGGGAGGTGGGGCCACCGCACTTCGTTATGTTCCTCGCGCTTTCGTCCCCGATCCGTGCTTGCCCCCATGGCCATGCTTTTAAATCGGAATGAACTGGAGGAGAATCTGGTGTCGTTGGTTGGGGGTTGTCGCTGTTCCTGAATTCTAAGCAGTTCCGCGCTCGCTAGTAGCACCTTGGCAGTACCTGGAGAGTAAGACACCAGATATACCCTTTTACACTCTGTAGTGTCAAAAAAGCATCATTTGAATTGAAACTAGGCTATATTTAGATTAGTCTTACCAGTTTAGGCCTCTATTGATAATCTGGCATTAAATCTCTGCGTGTCATTTGAATTTATGCTAGGCTATATGTAGATTAGTTTTGCCGGTTTAGGCCTCTATTGATCATCAGACATTAAATCTCTGCAGTATTCTGAAATGTGAATGGTTGCGCTTTTGAAAATGTACATAGAAAAGTTCCATGCATGCAGCCTAAGTTCATTGCGTCTGAACGATTCATTTCCTGCTCGTTGGTGTACAGAGATTCGCTGTAGAACTAAATGAAAGGATAAATGTTGTACAGAGCTGCACACCCCATTGATGTTGTGCCAGATCAGGAATTCGGTGAGTATCACTGACCTAATTTCAGGCGCCAGTAATTTTGTTTTGTATATTTTTTCTTTCTTAGACTTTCATACCAAGTACGTGAGCTGTTGACAGGTAAATGCAGATAAATGGACTTACTGTGATGAAAAGTACAACTCACGATATTTACACCAGAAAGCAGCAGGGCACAGAGATATTTCTAGTGCTACTCTTTCCACTCTTTATAACTAGACTCGGTCTCCCTGGTGCCATCTACCCCAGTCCCAACCCAATCCACCGGATAAACTATAGGCTGCTTTGTTCACTTCCCTTTCTTGACAGGTACTAAACCTTATTCTGTGGTAGCTTGGCACGGTTTTCTGTGTTTTTGCCCACCAGCTACACACTGCTAGTCTTTCTTATCAATGAAGTCGGCATTAGGTGTACTACTACTTTAGTTCGATACTTGTGATCCATGCGGTAGCTTGTTAGTTTGTGAGGAATAAACAACTCAACTTCTCTAGGTCCTCTCGTGGTATGGCTGCTAATGCATCTGCCGCTTATTGCTGGGCTCAGATTCCAGGACCATCTAAAGACCACAGACCAACTTCTTTTCCACCTCCTACGACTTTTCTACAATTAGCTATGCTTACACGTGCTTGTTTGGCCGTAGGAGAAGCCTCAAGAAGGCAAAGGACGACGGCGAACGCGAGCTTGGCAGATTTGGGCATGAACATCGCTGGGCTCCCTTCTGACATCCTTGTGGAGGTGACGGCTAACATCGCGACAAGGTCTTTGACTCCCCTCAACGACATCGTCAACCTCAGGCGATCGTAAGTCATCCCATTTCTGAATTCTGATCTTCTCTTTGGTTCTGTCTGCTTGGCTGCCGCCATCGCCATGAGAAATACAGTGACCTAACCTTGAGTTGGTGGGCCTGCGTGGCTGCGTGTGAAGGTGTAAGCTGTTCCGCGATAAGACGGCGGCGAGGGAGGTCGGGCGGTGCATGGCCGTTCAGAGAGAGTGGAGGCTGCACTGGTGGGATAAGACGAGGTTCCTGTCCGTGCTTCGGCGGTGCGCGGCGAGCGGCAACCCCGAGGCATCCTACATCCTTGGATTGGTAACGTCCGTAACACAAATTCAAGCAGACAATCGCATCGGCAGCTTGTACTGAATGTTAGCTTCTCATCTGCCAGGAGCTGTTCTGCAACCGGAGGAGAAAAGCCAGCGGGCTCCGGCACCTCCGACGTGCCATGGAGCATGACCGTGAGCCGCCTTCGGAGTCGTTTTTATGTATTGAACTTATGAATTTGGAATAGTGTGTACTTTTGAACGTGTGGTTTGTTATATATTGTAGATTTCGGACAAATTTGGTCGTTTGTGATATATAAATGTGGTTTGTGACATATTGGTGTTGATTTGTGGTTTGTGATATATATATATATATATATATATATATATATATATATATATATATATATATATATATATATATATATATTTTGTTGTTTACATGGAAAAGCAAAAAAAAAAAGAATTTTAGAGGTGACTTCCCCGAGTGCCTATGCTGTGGCACTCCGGAAAGAGGGATTTTTTTTAAAAAAAACAAATTTCTTTGCCGAGTGCCTGAGCTGCGGCACTCGGCGAAGAGTATTTTAAAAAAAAATTCAAAAATCTTTCCGGAGTGTTGCACTCGGGGAAGAAAATAAAAAAAAAACGGCGTCGGCCGGCGGCCAACGGCGTCAAGTCTTCTCCGAGTGCCAGCACGGCACTCGGCAAAGCCTTCCCCGAGTGCACGATTTTCGACACTTGGGGAAGGCGTCTTTCCCGTGGGAGGATTAGCCGGAGGCTCTTCCCCGAGTGTTGCACTCGGGGAAGGCTTCCCCGAGTGCAACTGGGCCTTCACCGATTGCAACTGACACTCAGGGAAGCCAGCAGTTCCTGTAGTGCATAGAACAAAATACAATTCAGTCATCAAGATGACTTTCATTTGACAACTGCTTTTTTAAGTGTGTTAACCCGTTGCTCTGGAATCAATGTAATACTCTAAACTCAAAACTGTGCTGCAGTTCCTGCGTTCAATCAATCTTACATTCTTTTCCTTGAAAATCACAAGGACTGTGGGCATCAATGCACTAACTGACCTGTCCAAAGGAACTTGGAAATCTTACCAATCTCTTATCACTGTAAGATCCTCCACTCGTCTTGTTATCCTGGGTAAAATTGGTAGTTGAAAACTAATATGTTGTACTGAATGCGCATACATTCTACGTATCAGAGACATGTGCTTCTTGTTGTATATCCCTATGGCATATTTTCTCTAATGCATGGATACTCTGCAATGGCAGTAAGTTAATACTGGATTGTATGTCCAAAATTTAATATGTTCATTTAAGCAGAGATAGTGATATTATATGCAGTTGTACATTTTAGTCAGGCTACTTGTTTTAAAAGTCTCAATAATCTTCAAAGGGAGTATCTCCTTCTTTTCTCTAACTAAATAATTGATTGATAAATGAGTTTCAAACTGTAAGATGGCAACTTTTGTTCCAGTGATTGGTGTAAGGCGGCTCCTATTCTCTAATAATGTGACAGCAGTCCACTGCCCTTGATTTATGTCTTCTTTTTATGATTCTCTTGAAACGGCTTCCCTTTCTCAGGGCAATTCCCTTTCAGGTGGCTAGGTGAACCAGCAGTGTTGGGGGCGTTGACCTTGGAGCAGACATTGTTAGGACATTGATCTATTCGAGTGGAGAGTGGATTTAGCTAATTTGAACAGGACATGTGGGCTAATAAATATGACTCATGTTTTTTTCTCTAACATGATGACATGTATGATTTTTTTTAATAAAACAATTCTTTGATTTGACTAGTTTAAAATCACTAGTAAAAAAAGGGCTTCTATTTCCGGCTGCTAACCCCCTTTATTCCTGGCCGGTTACGCAGCCGGGAATAGGAGTTCGGGAATAAAGGGTTAGTAGCCAGGAATAGAAGTGGACCTTTAGTCCCGGTTGGTGATACCAACCGGGACTAAAAAGGTAGCCACGCCAGCGTCTGGGCTGGCCCCTTTATTCCCGGTTGGTATTACCAACCGGGACTAAAGGGTCTTTTTTTTTCCTGCTTATTTCAATTGATGATTCTTTTTTGTTTTAATTTGGTTTTCAAATATGCATTATTCGCTGCAAAGTAATATACGTATACGCGCGCGTACTGTAAAGTTTTCGCTCGATCAATGCACGCAAGCAACACAAGTAAAAGTAAACTAAAACATAATATTACATTTTATCATCACATGTAAAGTTTGCATTAATTGTATATTTCATCATCACATGTTCTTTGGATCAATATGAAATTTGGCTTTCATCATCACATATTTAGGTCATAGTAAAACTCGCCGCCGGGAGTTAAGACCTGATCATTCAGAAATCAACCTATTGTCTCTTGGATTGCTTTGAGATGGTGTGTCCAGGGTTTTTTCCTTCAACCAACGAGTCTTCAATTTGAGATATGAGATAAAGAAAAAGTATATTAGTATGTATATATATATATATATGTATGTATGTATCAAGAATAATGATAAATAAATTGTATCTATCATGAATATATATATATAAATATGTGTATGAAGAATATATATATATATATATGTGTGTACACTTACCTTTTTTTCCTCTAGACTAGTTCTTTTTGAGCACACTCTCATGAACTCGCAAACATAGTATCCACAAAGATTGGTCCCCTGGGGCTGCAGCAGAACCCATTTTACGGGAAAAAGAGTCGTCATCATCCGAGCATAGGGAAATTGAACTAAGGTAGGTATATAGTACTTACTTTGTATAGCACTACTTTCAGTGGCACTTTGCGTTTCATATGGTGTTCCTGACAGACCTTTTCCCAACAGCTACCAAATAACATAAAAAATATTTAGACCATTAATTTGCATGCAGAGAGACTGGAATAGTTTTGCTAGTGAGACTGCAATTACCTCTGAATAATATATATCCTCTCTTGGAACTCTTTTTGCTCTTTTCTCAGCGAGTCCCAGATGCCTAGATGACCTTTCTCCAGATCTAGTTCCATCAATATCCAGTGTTCACTGTCATGTCCATTAACACTCATTAATTAGCTAACAGGTACAGTGAACATATATATATGGATACACGATCATCGACATTATGAACACTTACCTGAAGTTGTAGGGAAGAGTATACATTTCTTGTCACGTTGCTTCTCTAAGAACATCTTGATATTGGCCTCCGTTTCTGCTTTCCATGTTGGATGGGGTTTAGGGTTTTTGAATACGATATGTGGATCAATGAAACCAATATCAGTACACCCTTTCTTTTTGCACTCTCCCATCTCAAACCTGCATCATATATATAGAGTGAGGATAATAAACACAGACATGTACGTACGTAGCGACTTATTATTAATTAGTAGAAAGAATCACTTACAGACAACAATAGCTGATGAGAGTCTTGTCAAGAGAGTTCCGGTGGACTAGTTGGTGTAATTCAACAAACTCAATGTACATAACGTCATCGCCACGGAACCAATGGTCGTCTTTGATTCTGACAGAAATATAGAACTCTTTCCGGTGACACACGTCGAGGTACAAGGTGTTTAGCTTGAACAATTGTGTACCCAATTCATTGATGGTCTTAGGATTCCATAGACTCCTGCCATGCTCATATTTCTGTCATTCATCCGCTACCGACGCACTTTCGAAGAGGAAATCACCAAGGTCGATACCTCTCATAGCATAAAAGTTAGCAAGTTCCGTCATATCCACTTCTTTATCAGCAGGTATTTCCATCATATCCAGCGTATCTATGTTTGAACCATATTCATTAGCAATAACTAGAGGAGGGACTGATTGCAATTCTTGTTCTCCGAGTTGTGCAAAAGTTTTCCCTGCTTTAGCAGCTTTCTTAATTATCTTGCTAAGAGTGCGGTCAAAGTCTGATGGTGGCGAGGGCTTACGAGCTTGCCGCCTCTTTTTCTGCTCAGCTTCCACCATCCGCCTTAGTTTAGCTGGAGGTAGGTGGAAGTGCTTCTGCTCCTGCTGCTTCCTCTTCCCTGTGCCTGAGAAGAATGCTTCGATGGTTTTTTTAACCGCATCATCTAACTCCTCTTTACTCATTTCACAAGGCAATTTCTGTGGAATTGGCCTTGGTTTCACGAGGGCCTTCTTGGTCATCTTCACCGGTGGGGTAGATGGCTTATTTGTTTGCAGCCGTCTTCCCTAGTTCATGGGAGGAGGTGGGGGAACAAGCGTTGGAGACCTTCGAGGCGGCCTTGGGGAATGCCTTGGAGGTGGGGGAACAGGCGTTGGAGACCTTCGAGGTGGCATTGGGGAACGCCTTGGAGGTGGGGGACCAAGCGTTGGAGACCTTCGAGGCAGCGTTGGGGAACGCCTTGGAGGCGGCGGCGCGGTGGTGGAGACCATCTTGGAGATGGTGGGGATGCAGCCGTGTCTTTTTAAAGTAAACAAGGTAATGGTTTAATGCATAAACTGAGGCTTGCCTTCGTTGACGATCTCGGGTTCCGGATCAGTACCACAATTATCGAATCCCGAGACAACCATGGATTCTTCCACAACTTGCTCAACTAGAATCGGTTCACTCTCAGATTCTACACGAAATAATAACATATGCTTCAACATGATGATAATATAAATATGATGCTTTCATGGTGCATGAAATATGACCAAAACAAGATCAAACCCTAAACCTAACACTTAGGGTTTGCTTTTATCCATTTTTGAATTAATTTGGAAATAAGCTCAAAACGAACTTGTTCCAAATGACCTCAAAATTTTATGTAAGCTTCCTCATGACAAATTAGTGTACAAAAACAAATTTAATAATTTTTGGAGTTATACAGTGGCGTACAA